ATAGTTCTTCAAAATTATTTTACATCTCTTGTGTAATACTAAAATATGTCATACTATCATAAAAAGTAAATTGAAAATTCAAGAGATCACTATTGAATTGTATTTAATCAACGCTGATACTTCTAATTAACAATGTGATTGACGTTTAATAGATCCATCCACAAAGCCATATTTGTTTTTGGCTTAAGTGCGTTAGTCACAAAATGATTTCAGGTAGAATAATTATCTTTTTTTTAAAAAAAATATATGTTACTAAAGTTATACCTACATTATTAAAGGCATAAAAAGTATAGGGTGATGAGATATCATAATCAGTATAGATGGTGTTTGTGTTGTAGTTTGAAATATTAAAATTTAGAAAATGCTCTTCAATCACGATTAAAATGAAAAAAAAAAATTTAAAATTTCAATTACTCTGATATCGTAATAAAAAATAAAAAATAAAAATTGTAAAACTATAATTTTTTAATTCTTAGTGAATAAATTTATATAGAAGCAAGAGCTTCAATTAGTTCTTAATCTAAGGATACAAAATAATAATAATAAATATCGTTAGTTGAATGATATTAACTAAGACGCATATAAAAAATATTAAATGTAAACATGGAATATAAGTAACCACAATATTTTACTTTCAAGTTTTTCCAAGAAGAAAATGTGAAAATTAATTAAAAGTTGATAGTTTATACTCTTTATTTATGAACTAATTATCACAAATGAAAAAAAATTCTATGAAATTACTCTTTGAGCTTATATAATAATAAAATAAAATGAAATATAACTTTTTTACAGATATTTTGCGATGGAAGTAGTAGTGGGTCGTGGTGGATCTCCAAATGGAGATGGTCACGTGGCTGTGGGGATCATCATTGATTGCCGACTTAATTTGAAATGAACATGAGAAACATGATAAGATATATATACACCGAAGCTACAAAATTATAAGTATTTGTGGTTAATTAATTACTAACTGCATGTAAAAAAAATATTAAAAATATATAAAGTTTTAAACAAAAACACAATTATAATATAATATTTTACTGGATATATACGAAATAAATAACTCATTATTTAAATTTCTAATTATTAGGATTAAATTTTTGAATAAAAATTGATATTTTGGTAATTTATTATGAATTTTTGTATTAGTAATAACATAATTTAAAAATTATTGTGGTTGTAATTGGAGAGGATTTTCTTTTTGAAATTAATGAGTAAATATTGCTCTCCAAAGGACGATCAGATTTATAACAACAAACCCTACATTCACTAACATTTCAAAAGTTTAGTTGTGTTGAACTATTAATTGCTTACCTAATAAATATTTTGTGTTATTTTTTTGGTGGGGGCATAATTAATATTCTCGGTAATAGTTGCAATATGCATATATGTGCGCAAATATATATCTATATATATGTAAGGAAAAATAAATATGATAAGTTGGTTGAGAGATATATATATATACTGATGAGTAGTTGTGATGTTGTATTAATATATGTGTGGTACGAGTAATGGCAAAAGAAATGGGGAGGGATGATTTTGAAACTAAAAGAAGTGGACTAAGAGAACTAAGAGTTAGAAAACAAGAACAAAATGAAAAAGAAGAAGAAGAGCTTCCTGTGAGTCCTCTAGGACAATATTTGAACAGTTCGATACTTTCAATCAGTGTTATTACTGTTTTAGAATTAGAAGTTGAAATCGATCACACTCGAGCAGTCCCCTGTCTCCGCCAATTGTTTCTCCCAATCAATCCACGTTTCTCCTCCATCATGGTACATATACACATATATATATGTATATTTATTTGACTAGTATTTTTTCTTTATTCTTGTATTAGTTGCAATATTTTCTTGTGAATTTTGTTTTTCATTTCATAGTTATTACTTAATAAGCACACATTGGCACACATACATATATATATAAAGATTTATCTCTCATTAAACAAGAATTATAAACACATAAACTATGACTAATTAAGATATGTTATTGAATATCAACCATTAATTACTTAAATTATTCATATATTATTTCTTAAAATTTGTGAATTTAAGTTATGCTTTATTTTTTATTTTTTATTTAAAAAATATTGTATTATTATTAATATTTATCTATTACTTATTGATGAATTATTTTTTTTTTAAAAGATGATATTGAACGAAATCATTATGATATTAATAGGTGGAAGATATAAATGGAGTTAAACGATGGAAGAAGGTTGAGGTAAATTTAGAAGAGCACGTCTACATACCAAGCTTCTCATATGGAAAATCAGCAGAATTCTACGAAGACTGTTTGAGAGACTACTTAACAAAATTAGCTGGGGAAGAGCTTCAATCCACAAGACCCTTGTGGGAGCTTCACATAATCAAATACCCAACAACTAATGCACCTAACACTTTAATTTTCAAGCTTCATCATTCACTTGGTGATGGCTACTCTCTCATGGGAGCTCTCTTTTCTTCTTTGCGACGAGCAGATGATCCTTCTCTTCCAATTACTTTCCCTTATGTTCGAATGCGTTCGAATTCTACTCTAGATCCTCCCACTCACTATTTTAATACATTTATTCCTAATTTTTTCTATTCGTTCGTCAACACTATCTCTGATTTTGTCGAAAGCATCATCAAAAGTAAATTCAAAAAAGATGATATTACACCATTAAGATCCGCCCACCCTCATCTTCATCCCATGATCATTACCACTATCCCTTTCTCTCTTCTTCATATTAAACAAATAAAAGACATTCTTGGAGCAGTAAGTATTTATATATAAATATGTTATCTTTTTTCGGTAAATTACTAAATTGATTTTTAAAATTTGACATTTTTTTACGATTTGATTGACAATATCTTTTCTCATTGCTTTTTTTTAATCAAATCTCGAGTTTTATTTTCTTTTTTAATAGTAAAAAGAAATTCAAATGATTACACCATATTTGAATAATTTGAAAGATAACTCAAAATAATAATTTTAACTAATTAATTAAACTAGTAACATTATTTAGACTACTTTTTATTGATATTAATTTATTGATTTAATTTTTATTCTTTTTTTCCTTAATGAAATAAAACAAACTGGCCTTTTAAAAAAATAACCATTAAATTATACTAGAAAAAAGAACATTAAGAGTAAAATTGCAATAAGTTTCAAAGTTTTAAGTTTTAATTTAATAATTTATTATTTTAATTAATGCATTATAAACTTATCTTCTTCCTTTGTGGATTCATTTTAATGCATGCATGCAGACGGTAAACGACGTGATAACGGGAGTGATTTTATTGGGATGTCGACTTTACGTGCAAGAATTAGAACCCACACCATCAACTAAAACAGATTCAACGGCGTTAGTTTTGTTGAATACCAGGATGACCAGAAGTTACAAATCAGTGAAGGAGATGATCAAAAACGGCACCGACTCACCGTGGGGAAACCATTTTGCCTTCTTGTGCGTTCCAATACCTCATCTTCAGGATGCGTCAGATAATCGGCTTGAATATATCAGACAAGTGAGAAAAATCATTGCTGGGAAGAGAAGCTCGTCGGCGGTTTATCTCACGGCCTGGTTGCTAGAGGCTGTAAAGAGAATTCGAGGCCCTGAGGTGATATATATATGTAAATATACGTATATGATGATATATATAAATGAATTAACTGGCATATATTACTATATATATATGATATGTACATGATGAAATGTTTGCAGGCAGCCTCTAAATACGTATATGACACATTGAAAAACTCAAGCATGTGTATCACGAATATGGTGGGGCCAAAGGAGAAGATGGCTTTGGCAGATTATCCAATTAAAGGCTTGTACTTCATGCCAGTAGGCAGTCCTCAGGTATACGTACACATATGAAGCTATTTGGTATTTGATTATATAATACATATATAAGTAATGGTATGGATATCGTGTTGGGATATATGCAGAGTCTGATGATAAGTATAATGAGCTATAATGGAGAGCCGAGAGTAGGAGTGGGAGCAGAGAAAGGATACATAGATTTGGACAAGTTCAAGTCATGCATACAAAAGGCGTTTGAGATTATACTCCAAGCTGCTATATCTTAATTATAATTAATTAAGCATCTGTTTAGATTTTAACAATCAAACAAGTTAATTAATGTATGTCACTCCATCTTTCCTAATTAAGCTTCCATTCCTAATTCTTCTGCTTAAATCTGTCTATGTATGTCTGTGGATTTTGTATCATCCTATGTGTACATTTCTTCCTCAAAACGACTTCAAATCATATATTCATAAAGTTTACTGCAGGGGATATATATATCACACATATATGCATGACCTGATTCTCTGTTTTATATATTGTCCGTTTTCTCTTTCCTCAAGGTTCAGTGAAAAAAAGTGTTACTTAATTTAAAGCATAATTTATTTTTAATTTTTTATATTAATTATATTATTAGTGATGTGTAAATAATACCATATTACTAAAATAAAAAAATTTCTGCTTGAAAAATTTACAATTTAATTTATTATGTTAGAATAAATTTTTTTTTTAAATCCGTAGATCTGTAAAACGAAACATACAATCTTGTACTGAATTAATGAGAAATATAAGTGGAAGCATACCTGTATTAATCGTAGAAGAATTGTTTGTGTCTAGCAGTAAAATTTTTTAAATCAACACGGTGCCTTGAAACTAGTTATTTCTGGTGACGGAATTTTAGAAAAATAAAATGGTAACCTTATGATTCGGGAACCATAACCGCCTTTTATATTGACAAACTTTTACAATTATCATTTCACCCATCATAAAATGATAATATTACAAAAATAGTATATGAACATTATAAACTCATACTTATACTCAATTCATTAAGGTTCAATATTGTTTAATTACGTTTAATCACATTTAAACGAACCCACTAAATTGGTAGTCTGATATGCATACCAAGGTCCACATTAAGGCTACACGTTAGAAAAAATCCAACAGTCTCCTATTTGAACTTTATATGACACCTTAATTATACGTTAAATTACTGTGAGAGTACTCAGAACTGTGTTATCAATACCTGAATGCATCACCAAATAATGTCGTCCATCAATCATAAAGATATATGATCAAAGTGGCCTTCGCTACAGCTATCGTAGGTAAACCCTTCAATGGTCACGTATATGTATATAATCGACGACATGGATCAAGTATGGATGTGCAGCATGAAAATTACATATTATGTGATCTAAGCATACCTATTTTTTACTGGTCCTGCCTTAACCTTAGTAAAATCAACTGTAAAAAAATTTAGAAATAATATATATAAACAAAATCAAAACACAAAAACTAGAATGAAACCATATATATACACAAAGAAAATCAAAGTACAAAGTTTACGACATATTTTACAAAATAAATGCAATTATGATACAAGACTCCTACTAAAACTACATATCATCTAGGGATGTAACACCTATATGAGTTATGTGCTCATGAAAGACTTTAGGTGGTAATTCCTTAGTGAGCAAATCCGCAATCATGAAGTTTGTTATAATGTATTCTATCAATATCTGCTCATTCTGAACTCTTTCTTTAACAACGAGGAACTTGATATCAATATATTTTGACTTCGTCGAACTTCTATTGTTGTTGGAATATATAACTGCAGATTTATTGACACAAAATATATGCAATGATCTCTCTATGCCATCAATAATACACAGTCCAGTGACAAAATTTTGCAGTCATGTTCCATAATTAGACGTCTCATAACAAGCTACAAACTCTACTATTATAGTAGAAAATATTACAAGTGTTTATTATTAACACTCTTTTAAAAAATAGCTCCCCCAACAAGCAAATAAATATAACTTGATGTAGATTTACCGTTGTATTGACATCTAGCGAAATCAGAATCAGAATAACTAATGATCTCCAACTGATCTGACCTCCTGTATGTGAGCATATAACCTTTTGTTCTCTGTAGATACCGCATGACATGTATAGCTGTTTTTTAATGATCCATACTTGGATTGCTTAAATATCTATCTAACATTCGAATAATGTACGCAATATCCGAACGCGTACAAACATGTGCATACATAAAATTCCCTACTGTAGCAGCCCCGGAAATTCATAATGGAATTTATATTATAAATATCAAATGCGGAAGCGAAGTCAAAATTTGAATAACATCCCTTACACTGAAAACCAAAAACGTGCTCAAAATATAAAAGATTAAACTAACAAAAAAAAAGAAACTCGAAAGTAAAGCTATGAGTATGACTATGGAGTCTCTAGGCATCCCCTTCGTCGTCCTCCTGCTGAACGGGCTCGGGAACCATGTCTTCCTGATCTGAAATGATTAAATAAGGAATGAGCTACACTAGCCCAGTAAGGATATCACGATATCTCACCGTCACGGAGGTAAAGGTGGGTAGAAAACACAAAAGACCAATGAAGCATGATTTACGACAAATTCTTTTATTAATAATAAAACCTTTACCATTTACTTACCTCGGTGAAATTCATAAAGCAATATACGAAAGCAATAACATCATCATCATCATGGAAACATATATAAGAACTGTATAACATAATGCCTATCACACTTTTCGTAATTCAATCGTTACACAACATATTTTCCTGATTCACCAGCCCACTAGTATCCATGGGGATCCATAGGGGTCCCGCTACCCGTTAATCCTTAACACTTGAAATCCATTCCAGGGCCGTCCCCATACCCCGTCCGGTATGGGCGCCAAACCATAGACCTCATTACCCCGTCCGGTATGAGGGTGAAACGGGCCGTCCCCATACCTCGTCCGGTATGGGGGCCAAAACATAGACCTCATTACCCCGTCTGGTATGAGGGTGAAACGGGCCGTCCCCATACCCCGTCCGGTATGGGCGCCAACACACATAAGATCTTCATACCCCGTCCGGTATGGGAGACCACAATCCCGGTAGGGTTCCCTACGGACCCGGTCCGTCCACCATCTCGCAGGATATCTAGTCAGGCTGAACACATTATACAATTTCCATTCACATAATCTTTCATTCTCCTTTTCCCTCAGTCAGCATTATCAATCACATACAAACAAGCAAAACGATAATTTATGCCAAACAGACAACATATAGCATTAATATCCCGGTCATTCAATCCATAATCAATAAAACAGTAAAATATGCACACGAAACTATAAAATGAAAACATCAAACCTCATGCTGCATTTAAAACTGTAAAACAGGCCAAATAACAGTTAACCGACAAACACACTAGACTCGGGCTCCATTAGCGACCTTAAGTAATTTCACACATTCGTTGATTCATGAAAAACCGTTTTATCATTTATTAGACTTTAAAACCGTAATAGGAAATAGGGTGAGGGGTCTTTACTCGTTTCGGGGTCCGAACACGGCTTCACAGTGCACTTGCAGGCTGTCCTTAATTTTTTCTGAATTTTCATCGGGGAACTGAAAGGCACTACTGGTATCTGCACGTGTTCCAAAAAAATCCCAAATTAGGCCCAGGGCCCCTTTCGGCCCAAATCGCAACTCCGGCACGGCGGCTCTGCCATGCTCCGGTAAAGGCGCCGCCGCTGGCGGCGGCGATTCGCCTCGGGTTGGCTGTTTTCGGCCACACTCGCATCGGTCCCTGCGAGAAAACAACCCTAGGGCCCTCGGGGGGCTAAAAAATCACGGAAAAAAGGAGCTTACCGGCGGTGGCGCTCTCGGGTGCGGCGGCTCTCCGGTGAGGTTCGTGTTTTGGTGATTCGGCTCCGGTCAACCTGTAGAGAAAAGAATGGTGATCACGGTGATATAAAAATTGCATCAAACGAAGGCCGGGAAGGGCCTCATTGGAGGTAAAAATCGAGAAGGGGCGCGGCGGCGCCGCTGGGCTTCGGCTGTGTATTTCGGTCGTTTGGCCGAGATTTTGGCTCTGATTTGGCCACTGGAGGAATCAGCGTGGAAAAACGAGTCGGGGGTACGAAATTTACCTCGATCGGCGGTCGAAAATTCCTCCGGTGCGGCGGCGGGTGGCGGCGGCCGGCTTCTGGTTCGTCTTCTCCGGCGAGCGGCAGGCGGCTAGGGTTTTGTGGTCTGGTGTGGGGGGTCTATTTATAACCCTTTGCCTTTTGATCTCAGCCGTCCATTTTGTTTTAATCTAGGCCGTCCGTTTTTGATTAAATCTGGGCCGTCCGTGCGTTTAAATCTGGGCCATCCGATCGCACGCTTGATCTGAGCCGTCCGATCGTGCCCACGCGGATCACTAACGTGGCCCTTTTTGGAACGACGTGGTTTTTGCCACGTGGCAGGTCCCGGTTGGCTGGCTGCTGACCGGGCCTGCTGACGTGGCTTTTTTTTTTTTCAGCCCCTTTCCGGGCGCTACACCTACAGCTGAAGAATAAGGGATCTTTTGCATCTTCGTACTCTCTAAATCAATCTTAGGGTATTGACTTAGAGTAAATTTATCTCATTGAGACACAGGGAAGTCACCTGATTTACAATCCTGCATGTCAAATCTTTTAAAGAATTTTTACGATATAGTTCTTTTGTGATAATGCAAGAATACTCTAAGAGCGATCTCTGTGTATCTGAATCCCTAATACAAAAGAGACGTCCCCAAGATCTTTTATCTTAAATTTTTTTGTCAGAAATATCTTGATTTCGTGCAATAAGCCTATATTACTACTGGCAACCAGTAGGTCATCGACATATAAAACTAAAAAAAAATATACTCACTCTATAACACCCAAATTATTATTATTTTTTGTATTATTTTTATTTTTTTGTATTTGAATTTTAGTTTAATTTTTTATACATTTAATTTATAAGATTTTAATTCAATTTAATTTAATTTAATGAAAATAAAATAATAATAATGATAAAATAGGGTAAAATTATTTTTTGGATTTAATTGAAATTGATTTTGGAAAAAAAAGGTGAAAATTTAGATTATGGGGGTGTTTTTTTAAAAAAAAATCATAAACTGGGGGTCAAAACGTAATTTGAAAAAGTTGTGCCACGTCAGCAGCCACGTTAGTAGTCTGGTCAGCAGCCTCAGCCAACCAGGACACGCTGCATGACAAAGAAACGCTGACACAGGACGGGCCACATGGGCGATCCGCGTGTGCGCAATCGGACGGCCCATATCTGTTCCCGCGCGCA